GCCACTGCACTCCAGTCTAGGCGACAGAGTGAGACTCCAACTCAAAAAAAAAAAAAAAAAAAAAGAATTACTGCTAGTGAATGTAATAACACTTGTTACTTGGGGATTTAGGGTCTCCCATCCAGAAATGGTTGTAATTTATAATGTGAGTGGATGTTTGAACTTTCAGGTAAATTAACTTTTTTTTGTTTCTCATTCATGAGTGAAAGGTAAATTTTTAATTCCTTCTTATGACAAAAGAATACGTTCCAATTTGTATCTAAAATATTATAGACATTAGAAGCTTTTGAAGCCAATTAAAGTTAATACAAAGTTTAAGATGTAAGTCAAGTTCTGATGCAGGAACTTCAGAAAGTTTGGGATTTTCATTATATCAAGGCTTAGTAGTTAGGAATATAGGCTCAGGAGTCAGACTGCCAAAGTTTAAATCTCTGCTCTACCACTTTCTGGCTATCTTATTCTAAGCTTCGTTTTCTCATCTAAGAAGTAGGAATAATAAGAATACTTGCCTCAGGATTGTGAAAAAAATGTTTTTTATATACTTGAGTTCTTATATCAGGGATCCTGTGAAAATTAAATGAGATAATTTATATAAAATGCTTATCATTAAATACTTGACACTTAGTAGGTACTCAGTAAATTTTAAGTGTTACTCAGTATTTTGAGTACCTATACATACTAAGCACCATGCCATGCACACAATAGGCAGCTGGTAGAAGAAAATGATTTTTGCATCTATTACTATGATGTTTTCTTAAATTTATTCACATTTCTGTGGACTCCTTGTCTAACATGAATAGTTCAAACAGCTGTAGCTTCTTTATAAAAACTTCTAGCTCATGGAGCTCCTTATAGCACTTACAGTGGCTACTACTTGTTTGGTATGTGCTATTTTACTGCTTACTTATTTCCTTAGCTATATTCTGAGCCTTTCATGAGTAGGAATTATATGTAAAAGTTTTTGTACCACTCACAGTCATTTAATGGGTGCTTTATAAAGTGTTTATTAATGAAAATAACCATGCAAACTATAACCTTTTAAAAATAGGTTAAGAAACTGGTTTTTTCAGAAAGGACCTACAACTGGAAAAAGAATGGTATTAAGGGCAGCTGAACATAAAATTGTATTAATTCTGTTAACTAACCATAACTATATAATATAATTGGTCTTATTTTGAAAAATCTGTATAATGTACAAATAATAACTGAATGAGAGGGACAAAATTCCAGAGCATGTTAAGAAAAACAGAACCAAGAAAGGGAGGGAAATATAAATGTTTCAAATTTTTAATATTTCTGGGTGATTGGGGAAGTAAGATGCTGTTTAATTTTTAAGTTAATAACATGAGAAATTAAAAATTTGAGTATATATCATTTAAAGATATGGAAGCAGACTGGGCGAGGTGGCTCACACCTATAATCCCAGCACTTTGGGAGGCTAAGGCTGGAGGATTACTTGAAGCCAGGAATTTGAGACTAGCCTGGGCAACATAGTGAGACCCCATCTTGACAAAAATGAAATTTAAAAAATTAGTTGGGTGTGGTGGCTCCTGCCTGTAGTCTTAACTACTTGGGAGGTTGAGGCAGGAGGATTGCTTGAGCCTGGGAAGTCGAGGCTGCAGTGAGCTATGATCATGCTGCTGCACTTCAGCCTGGGCAACAGAGCAAGATTCTGTCTCTTAAAAAAGAAAAAAAAAGTGAAATTACCCGCAATTAGAAATAAAAATAGATTCTGTTATATACTCTAACAGGGGAGTAAAGTAAAGGGGATGTTGGGTGGGTTATAACTTTATTTATTTATTTATTTATTTTTTGAGTTGGAGTCTCACTCTGTCACCCAGACTGGAGTGCAGTGGCCACTCCCGGCCACCGCAACCTCGACTTTCTGGGCTCCGGCGATCCTTCCACCTCAGCCTTCCAAGTAGCTGGAACTATAGGCGCGTGCTACCACGCCTGGCTAATTTTTGATTTACTGTAGAGATGAGGTCTCGCCAAGTTGCCCAGGTGGGTCTCGAACCCGCGGGCTCAGGCAATCCACTTGCCTCGGCCTCCCAAAGCACTGGGATTACAAGCTGAGTTACCAAACCCGGCAGGTTATGACTTTAAAGTAAGCATTGAGAATTCCTTTAAATCACTAATGAAAAACTGTTTTCCTTCCAGACAAGATGAACCTTCCAATAGCAACCAAGAAACAAACTCTGATGAGAGACGACCCCAGTGGAGACGAGAAGACAGAATTCCTTACCAAGACAGAGAGAGTTACAGCCAGCCAACATGGCATCATCGTGGACCTCCACAGCGGGATTGGAAATGGGAAAAAGATGGCTTTAATAATACTAGAAAAAACAGCTTTCCACATTCTTTGAGGAAAAGCGGTGGGCCAAGAGGATGTTCTGGGTGGCATAAGGGTGTTGCAGGAGGCTCCTCAACTTGGTTTCACAACCATAGTAATTCTGGAGGTGGTTGGCATTCAAACAGTGGAACGGTAGATTGGAATCATAATGGTTCAGGAAGGAATCCCAGTTGGCATTCTGAAGGAACAGGTGGCTTTTCCAGTTGGCATATGAACAACAGTAACGGAAACTGGAAATCCAGTGTACGTAGTACAAATAGTTGGAATTACAGTGGCCCCGGAGACAAGTTTCAACCAGGCAGAAACAGAAATTCTAACTGTCAAATGGAAGACATGACTGTGCTATGGAACAAGAAATCTAATAAGTCAAGCAAATACAATCAAGAGAGATATAATTGGCAGAGGCAAGAAAATGACAAAGTTGGTACAGTTGCCACATATAGAGGTCCTTCTGAAGGATTTATAAGTGATACATTTCCTTCAGAAGGCTTACTTGACTTCAATTTTGAGCAGCCGGAAAGCCAAACCACTAAACCAACTGACACTGCAGCTTCCAAAATTAATGGAAAGAATAGCAATGTGACAAGGGAAAAGCCCCGTCGTTGGACTCCTTATCCTTCCCAGAAGACTTTGGATTTACAGTTAGGATTGAAAGAAGTCACTGGTAACAAATCAGAAATGATAGATAAGCCTTTCTTTGATTTTAGCTTGATTACTCTGGGAACACAAGAACCCCAAACTAATGAAACAAATAATTCTCCAACATTGAAAACACAAAAAGAAATACATACTGGATCTCTTCATCACAAAGCCATTTCTGACTGTGCTGCTCTCTATGAGAGAGCGAGAAATTGCCCCAGTACAGGAAAACCTGAACAAGACCATAACTCAAATAAAATGCCGTCATTGAAATCCCCACTTCTTCCAATTCCAGCCACAAAATCATTTCCGCAAAAGCAAGATTCAAAGAATTCCTCAAAAAACACAAAAAGCAATTCTTTTTTCCCTGGTGAACACTCAGATACCTTCAAAAAACTTACCATGGAAGATAACCATAGTTCTTCTTACAGATGCAAATCGCGTAGTTCATGTCCTCGTGTTTTAAAAGGGAGTAAAAGTTCTTTTGACACTCAAAAGGAATCTGATGATCATTTAAATGACACGTTACAAAAAGCCAGAGAGGTGCTACAGTGTCAAGAGTCATTGCAAAATCCACTTCTTAGCACTTCTAAAAGGACCAGGAACCATGCAAAAGCAAGTAGGAATGTAGAAGAATCTGAAAAAGGATCTTTGAAAATTGAGTTTCAAGTACACGCACTAGAAGATGAAAGTGATGGAGAGATATCTGACACAGAAAAGCATGGAACAAAAATGAGAACCCTAGATTCTGCGACCACAGAATTTTTATCCTGCAGCACTCATACTACTGATGAGAAAGAAGGCGATGATCAAATCCTGAAAACTACTAGAAAACTATCCACTTCCCCATGTAATTCCACAGTTCACCAGAAGGAGTCTGAGTTACAAATGACATCTGTAGCCAGTCCAAACCCTGAGTTATTGCTAGACTTAAAAACCTCTCTAGAAGGGGCACAGGTTGATGACCCTGTTAAATCTCATGTATCTTATGAAGCAGAAGGCTTTGAGAGTACAAGCTTGGATGCAGAACTTCAAAAAAGCGATATCAGTCAGCCCTCAGGCCCTCTCCTGCCTGAACTGAGTAAGCTTGGCTTTCCTGCCTCACTCCAGAGGGATCTAACGCGACACATTAGTTTGAAGAGCAAAACTGGAGCAAACCTTCCTGAGCCAAACCTCAATAGTGCTCGTCGCATTCGCAATATTAGTGGTCATCGAAAGAGTGAGACAGAGAAGGAGTCTGGGCTTAAGCCAACCCTACGACAGATTCTAAATGCATCCCGGAGAAATGTCAACTGGGAACAGGTCATTCAGCAAGTAACCAAGAAAAAGCAAGAGCTAGGCAAAGGCTTACCCAGGTGTGTGTGCCTCTTTTAAGTATCTGTTTTGTTTTGTTTTTTCCTCACTTCCTTTTAAAGTTACCCTTTGACCCAGTCAAAAGAATTCTGCTTGTTCCATTTAATTAAATGTTTGCCAAAATGTCCATTGTAAATTGTCTGATTTAATATCAGTGACTGCTACTCTGACAGATGGAATAAAGCATGTTCTATCAGAGAATATGGTTAAAATGGAAGCACACTTACTTGAGAAACAAGATGGGGACATAGAACAAAATAATCAGAAATCTATCACTTTGGTTTATAGGGCCTAGAAAGTGACAGTATAAAAATGTGTGTCTATAAATCTGTGTCTGTATAGATTTTACTTTTGGTGTGAGTGGTACAGCTTTTAGGTATAATTGTTTTCATTACCTTTTACTTAGAATCTTTCTATATACTCTGGGCATTATATTTATGATCACAAAATACGTTCTCTTAAGCACATTTGTAATATTTTGGCCGTTCATCTTATGTGGAGGTACTAGACTTCTCTGAATGGTAAAGCAGTATTCAACATAGCCTTGGTACTTGAAAATCATAATTCTGCTGCATTATAATATACAGCCCTCCAGGTGTTGGGGGTACTTCTTTGTTGAGATAATGGATTTATGTTGCCCCTTTTGCTTTCCTTCACCTTGTTAGCAGTACTTAGGATTTTAAGTATGATGCTCTTAGCATAGAACTGACACTTGTAAATGCTCAATAAAAATTTTTTTGGTTTGTTTGCTTTTAAAGTTATATGTTGTGTTTACTTTTGCAGATTTAGAGCTCCATTTGAAGTAAAACTCATTTTTTTTCTCCCTTACATATATTCTTTTATTTTTTTTTTTTGAGTCAGAGTCTTACTCTGTCATCCAGACTGGAGTACAGTGGCATGCTCGTGGCCACTGCAGCCTTGACCTGCTGGACTCAGGTGATCCTTCCGCCTCAGCTTTCCAAGTAGCTGGAACCATAGGCATGCACCACCTTGCACAGCTAATGTTTTGATTTTACTGTAGAGATGAGGCCTTGCCATGTTACTCGGGCTGGTCTCAAACCCCTGAGCTCAGGCAGTTCTCTCGCCTCTACCTCCCAAAGTGCTGGGTTTACAGGTGTGAGCCACTATGCCCGGCCACAAATATATATATATATATATATATATATTTTTTTTTTTTTTTGAGTTGGAGTATCACTCTGTTGCCCAGACTGGAGTGCAGTGGCCGCTTGCGGCCACCGCAGCCTTGACCTGCTGGGCTCCGGCGATCCTTCCGCCTCAGCCTTCCAAGTAATGGAATTACAGGCGCGCGCTACCACGCCCGGCTGATTTTTTGATTTATTGTAGAGATGAGGTCTTGCCAAGTTGCCCAGGTGGGTCTCGAACCCTCAGGCTCAGGCAATCCACTCACCTCAGCCTCCCAAAGGCGCGGGATTACAGGCTGAGCCACCAAGCCCGGCCTCACATATATTCTTATAGCTTTATACAAATTGCCATTCTAGTACTTGTCATGTCATAATATATTTACTCTTTATCTGCAGTGCTTATTGGACTATGAGCTCCATGAGGGCAGAAACCATCTTACTCGTTTTTGTAACCTCAGCTTAACAGAACTTGGCATATTAAGTTGGTGTCCCTTCAATCGTGTCTGATTTTTGTTTTTGTTTTTTCTTTCTTTCCTAAGGTTTGGCATAGAAATGGTGCCTCTGGTTCAAAATGAACAAGAGGTCTTGGATTTGGAAGGGGAACCTAATCTGTCCAGTCTAGAAGGATTCCAGTGGGAAAGTGTTCCCATTTCTTCATCCCCTGGGTTGGCAAGAAAGCGAAGCCTTTCTGAGAGCAGTGTGATCATGGACAGGGCTCCTTCTGTGTATAGCTTCTTCAGTGAGGAAGGTACAGGCAAAGAAAATGAGCCCCAGCAGATGGTTTCACCTACTAACTCGTTGAGGGCTGCACAGAGTCAAAAAACAACCACGCATCTTAAACAGGAAGTGACGCCGCTGGCGGCCTCCCTCAGAACAGGTGAAAGGGCTGAAAATGTTGCTACTCAAAGGCGACATAGTGCACAATTACCCTCTGACCGCATAATACCTTTGGTGCATTCTTCAAAAGATCTGAACAACCAGGAGAGGTCTTCACCACCTTCAGAGAATCAGAACACCCAGGAGAGTAATGGAGAAGGAAACTCTTTGTCATCAAATGCATCCTCAGCCCTTGCTATCTCCAGTTTAGCTGATGCAGCCACAGATAGTAGCTGTACTTCTGGTGCTGAGCAAAATGATGGCCAGAGTATTAGAAAGAAACGAAGAGCCACTGGAGTGAGTATGATTCCCTGTACTTTTTGTAGATCTCATTTGGTAACTTGGTTCTTTATAAGAAAGGGTTTTTTTTGTTTTTTTTGTTTTTTGAGTTGAGTCTCACTCTGGCGCCCAGACTGGAGTGCAGTGGCCGCTCCCGGTTACCGCAGCCTCGACCTGCTGGGCTCTGGCGATCCTTCCGCCTCAGCCTTCCAAGTAGCTGGAACTATAGGCGCGCGCTACCACGCCTGCGCCTGTCGTTTTTTTTTATTTTATTGTAGAGATGAGGTGTCGCCAAGTTGCCCAGGCGGGTCTCGAACACACGGGCTCAGGAAATCCACTCACCTCAGCCTCCCAAAGCCTCCCAAAGCTTTAAATTCCAACTCTGCTCCTTGGAACTAAATATTATGAAGTTGACATTCTTGGATGATTACAGGCTGAGCCACCAAGCCCGGTTTATAAGAAAGGTTTAACTGTTTGATTTTTCTTGGATATCTGGGATTGTGGTTCTCTCAACTCTGGAACAGAAGAATTGTGAGATACTTTCACCCTACTGATTTCTTTCACTGAGTAATTCTACTAAATTAGATGTAATTTAATATGAATGTACAGTACCAGGAAAATATGAAGTCATCTCTAAAACTAGTCTCCAAGCCAATGATTCTTTATATCATCTGACCAAGAATAAATCACATCTTCAGCTGTAACTTAATCTGTTTTCTTTTTTTAATTTTTTTTTTGAGTTGGAGTTTCACTCTGTCACCCAGACTGGCGTGCAGTGGCCGCTCCCGGCCACCGCAGCCTCGACCTGCTGGCCTCTGGTGATCTTTTCACTTCAGCCTTCCAAGTAGCTGGAACTACAAGTGGACGCTACCACGCCCGGCTAATTTTTGATTTATTGTAGAGATGAGGTCTCGCCAAGTTGCCCAGGCGGGTCTCGAACCCGCAGGCCCTGGCAATCCACTCACCTCAGCCTCCCAAAGGCGCGGGATTACAGGCTGAGCCATGGAACCCTGCTTTAATCTGTTTTCATAGATGTATTCTGTATGGCTACCGAAAAAAGGCATTCTACTGTTGCATTTATGGGGACTGTATGATTGATTGTTGGATTCAGAAGTGCTAGGCTTAACACTAAGGTAGTTTTAATACTATTAGAGTAAACATATATGAACACAGTCTAGAAATATTTTTAGTCTGTGTAACTCTTTTGTCCTTCAGTTACCCAGCCTGACCTTTTAAGAATCTTTTATTTCACTCACACCACTTGTGCTTTTCTGGCATTTCTGTTGTTAATATTGCTTAACTCTCTCAGAATCCCTTTCTGAAAAGAAAGAATTGCTTGTGTTGGTATAGTCTGGAATCTGGCACTGTGACAAAATGGGCTCTTTTATTTATTTATTAGTTTATTTTACAATTTATATTACAGATGGGGTCTTGCTATATTGCCTAGGCTGGTCTCAGACTCCTGGGTTCAAGTGATCCTCCTGCCTTAGCCTCCCAAGTAGCTGGGGCTGTAGGCATGTGCCACTGTAGCTGGCTTCTTTCCTTTAATACTGAGAAAATAAACAGAATAGTTAAGGGCATGGGCTTTAGGCCTGCTTTAAATTCCAACTCTGCTCCTTGGAACTAAATATTATGAAGTTGACATTCTTGGATGATTTGAAATATACTTTAAGCTAAGGGTTTGTCCTTTGACAAAGTTGATATCTTGGAGCTTGTCTCATAGACTATTTAACTTTTCATTGCAAAGTTTTCTTGCTGCAATTTAAGGTAAAAACCATGCCAAGATGAAATAACATGTATATATTACTGGTCTACCTGTGCCTTACTTTATGAAAGTGGAATGCTTTGCCTAAACTCCATGGGCTTTTTTTTTTTCCTTTTTATTTCACTAACTTTTAGGGATACATATAGTTTTTGGTTACATGGGTGCATTGTATAGTGGCAAAGACATCTGGGCTTTAAGTGTATCCACCACCCCCACCTGTCCACATTGTACCTGATAGGTGATACTCCATGGGCTTTACCAGCAACCTCTAGAATGCTAGGAAGGTACTTGCCCTTGGATTCTTTTTTATCTCTTTTTTATTGGATACCTCCATTCAACTGAAATTTGAATTTGTACCATTGGTGCACAAGAGTCCTACAATCTTTTTAGATGGTAGCAATAGTAAAGAATGGTGTAAGATGATCTTAGAATACATCATTTTTCCCTCTTGGTTAATGGCCTTTACCTATTTAATGTTCTTCACTTTTCTTTATTCCTTTAGGATGGATCTTCTCCTGAACTCCCAAGTCTTGAGAGAAAAAATAAAAGAAGGAAAATTAAAGGAAAGAAAGGTATCGTGCAAAATATTTTGCCTATAGCAACTTAGCCTTTTTATAACCCATAACTTGTTGGTTATCGAACACTGATTGTCCATTTCTTTTTTCTTTTTTTCACATTATTGTTATCTTACTTAAGGGCAGAGAAAAGTTTGATTTCCTACTATATCCAGTTATATCTATAGAAGAAATATACGATGCCACATAGATTTGTAAGTTAAAATTAATATATATCTTGGACAATATAAAGCCAGAAAGTTTCATTGAGACTTTTCACTGGGATGAAAAGGAATAGACCATTTAGTAAAAATGTTGTTCTTGGCCGGACTCGGTGGCGCAGCCTGTAATCCCAGCAATTTGAGAGGCTGAGGTGAGTGCATTGTCTGAGCCCACAGGTTCGAGACCAGCCCAGGCAACTTGGTGAGATCTCATCTCTACAATAAATCAAAAATTAGCCAGGCCTGGTAGCACATGCCTATAGTTACAGCTACTTGAAAGGCTGAGGTAGAAGGATCACTGGAGCTCAGCAGGTCAACACTGGGGTGGTCGTGAGTGTGACACTGCACTCCAGCCTGGGCCACAGAGTGAGACTCCAATTTAAAAAAAAAAAAAAAGTCCTTCTTGGTCCTTTATAGCCATTTCTGTCTTCTGTCACTTTCTGTTTTTGAGGCATCTTAGTTGCCCCCCCCCTGGTTTTCTCCCACTTTTCTAAAATGAATTAAGGAGAGAAGTTATTAGCATTGCTCCCTCACTGATATATTTCTATGACTCTTGCTTTTCATTGACTGTAACTCAGTTCCAGTATAAAGGCTAATCCCGGAAGTGATTGGATAAGCCTTGGGTGAGTGGATGTGATGGATAAGGGAGGAGTCAAGGATAACCCACATTTCTTACTGGGGCAGTCAGATAGATGATAGTATCATTTGTAGAGAGGAGTGGGCTGAGACTAGAGAAAGGATAATGAGTTCCCTTATGGATCCTTTGAGACACCTAGCTAGAGATATTATAGTTGATAGTTGGGTATGTAGGTCTGGAGTTTAGGGGAGAGGTGTTAGCATATTGAATGGGAGAGAGAGAAACATGACAATGATAAATATATATCACAGGACATTTTATTTAAAGTAAGTTAAATGTACTATTTCAAAGCTGTATTTTCTTCAGGAAGCCTTCTCTAATAAAGAGAACTATTTTAAGTTAACTAACAGACTAGAAATATATGGGTTGGGAGGAGAGTGCCAGCGGTAGGTCTGGGGTCCAATTTAAGCAAAAGCCCTGGATAAGAGGGTGGTAGATAACAGAAGAATGGAAATGAAGCCTAGAACAGTTGATTTGCGTGGGACAGAGATTTCATCTGGAAAGGTAGTGGTAGAAAATGGTGACTAGGTGAGACAGTATGATGTGATGATATACTTGAACCTGAGATGCCACCATCTTACCAAGTCTCACTTTTGGTTTCTAGCTTTGATACCATTGGGCTTGACTATATGTTTTGTTAGATTTGATGAGTCTCCAGTTATCTATTGAGGAGAAAATAAAGGCTTATCCTAAATAATTGGTGTAGTTCAATTTTCTGAGAAGAAGCAGTGTTATTAAAGGGATGTCTCCAGTATTAAACAGAACCTTATGGTTTCTTTTGGCAGAACGTTCTCAGGTTGACCAGCTGCTGAATATATCTTTAAGGGAGGAAGAACTAAGTAAATCACTGCAGTGCATGGATAACAATCTTCTGCAAGCCCGTACAGCACTTCAGACAGCCTATGTTGAAGTTCAGAGGCTACTCATGCTCAAACAGCAGGTAACAGTGTATGGAAGGTTTCATGCAAATATATCATCTCTGAAGTTGTGTTTCATCCCACCAAACCCGTAGCTGAAGTTACCCCAAAAATGGTGGCAGGGGAGTTCCCATAAGAGAGTGACCCAAACCATCCCTAGATTGGGCTGGTTGGGATTCTGAGGAAAGAAGCTGTCATTGCCAGGGTGATCAACTTCAAAGGATTTGTTAGGGAAGCTTACTTAGAGAGTAGACTGCTGCAATCCTCATGATGGACAACAAGAAAGGGATGTTCTACTTAAGTATGCCCACAGCCAGGGGGTATGGAATTTATGAGGGCTTAAGGAGTTTGGGGTGTTCTACCTAGGTATATCCACAACTAGGAGGATATGGAGTTTATATGAGGGTTTAAGGAATTTGACTCAGGAATGGGACCAGTTTCTTTCAGTGTCTTGGACAACAACCTCGATACCTTTATCAGTGCCCAGGTATGTTCAAGACCCCAGTTTGGATTTAAGCCTGCTAGGGAAAACCTGCTGCTGGCAGGGTCACAAAGCAGTCAAGGCACTCTGATTTTCAGTCAGGACATAAAGCAAGGTGACCTGGGGAAACCTAAAAATTGGATGTCAAAATGCATAATAAAGTACTTTATTTTTAGATAACCATGGAGATGAGTGCACTGAGGACCCATCGAATACAGATTCTACAGGGATTACAAGGTATTTAGAGGGCATCTGATGGGTTGTGCCCCTATAGCTTCTTATTTTTTTGTTCTTTTAGAGGGGAATGAAAAGTAGTTATGAAAAGGTCATATGATTTCTGTCCTATCTTCTTGGTTTCATCTTTCTATAAAAAGGTCTATAGACTGTACATCCCACAAATATTTAGCAATGGAGGCAGTATGTTATGGAAGAGCTTTGGGTTAAGAATCAGAAGACCTGGGTTCAAATCTTGGCTGTTCCATTAGTAATCTATATAAACTTTGGATAAGTCACTTAAAATTTGAAAAATTGCAATTTTGATGCCTCTTCTGTCTGTACCCTTAGGTTGTATAGGTTATATGACATTTTATTTTGAAAAATTATGAGGGACTATATTAACATACTTATTAACTTTTGTGTGTGTGTGTGTGTTGGAGTCTCACTCTGTCGCCCAGACTGGAGTGCAGTGGTCACTCCCGGCCACTGCAGCCTTGCCCTGCTGGGCTCCAGTGATCCTTCCACCTCAGCCTTCCAAGTTGCTGGAACTGCAGACGTACACTACCATGTCCGGCTAATTTTTTGATTTATTGTAGAGATGAGGTCTCATCAAGTTGCCCAGGCGGATCTCGAACCCACGGGCTCAGGCAATTTACTCACCTCAGCTTCCCAAGGTGCGGGATTACAGGCTGAGCCACCGAGCCCAGCTCATACTCATTAATTTAAAGTTAGCTTCTAGACAGGCTTGGTGGCTCAGCCTGTAATACCACGCCTTTGGGAGGCTGAGGTGAGCAGATTGCCTGAGCCCGCAGGTTCGAGACCCGCCTGGGCAGGTGAGACTTGATCTCTAAAAAAAAAAAAAGTTAGCTTCTAATCTTCAAAAATACAAATTGGCTCAGAAACAAGTGACTTTTCAGATAACATTTTTGCATTTATATGTATGTTTTCCATTCTAGAAACATATGAACCTTCTGAGCACCAAGACCAGGTTCCCTGTAGCCTCACACGAGAACGAAGGAACAGTAGATCTCAAACATCTGTTGATGCCACACTGCTGCCTACTCCCTTTGTCCCATTTTTTCTGGAGCCTCCATCTTCTCATATGTCTCCATCATCTACTGGAGCCTCTCTCCAAGTAACTGCATCTTCTGCTTTTCAAGCCCATGGCAGTGTCCCTGCTCCAGACTCATCGGTTCAGATTAAACAAGAGCCCATGTCTCCTGAACAAGATGAGAATGTGAATGCTGTATCACAAGGCTCTGCTTGCAGTGTGTCCAAGGAATTGCTGCAAGCTAATAGTATGTAAGCTTTTCTCTGGATTGAGGGCATCCCTGTAGTGGGACTAGGGCAGTTTTATAAGTGATGTAAAGCCATACTTGCTCATTAAACTAAAGTTATTACAGTTTTTTTCATTGAAATTGTCTTCATACAGGAGGATTATTTTTAAATATTTCAGATAATGTAATTTAAATATCAAAAACTTTTCTCTAATCTAGGGTTACTGAGTTGACTTTGTATTAACACCCAAAGCATTTATTTATTAGGGTAGGTGTAGAATTTCTTTGGCTTTGTGGCATAAATAGGGTTGAAGTTATTCAGCCAATTTTCTAGCTAAGACATATCCTCTGAATTTCTTAGCACATAACTGTTTTTTTGTTTTTTGTTTTTTTTGAGTCAAAGTCTCATTCTGTCGCCCAGGCTAGAGTGCAGTGGCATACCTATAGCCACTGCAGCCTTGAACTGCTGGACCCAGGTGATCCTTCCTCTTTAGCCTTCCAAGTGACTGGAACTACAGGCATGCACAACCACACCCGGCTAATTTTTTGATTTAGTGTAGAGACGAGGTCTTGCCAAGCTGCTCAGGTGGGTCTCAAACCCCTAGACTCAGGCAATCTCCTCGCCTCTGCATCCTAAAGTGCTGGGATTACAGGCGTGAGCCACTGCGTCCAGCAGTTCTTCATTGTTTTTATCATCTCGAATACAAACCAAGATTAATATAAGTGAGAGGTAGGTGACCATCATGGACGGCAGAGAGCTCTGGGAACTTGGGTGGTCTTGAGAAACAGCCATGGCTTTATTCTTTTCAAAAAATAATACTCACCTGGCTAGCATTTGGGAACAACCTCTAAGCTATTTAAAATCCTGTTTGCACAGCCACCGTTTGTATAACCACAGTGGTGCCATATTGAAAGTTAAGTAGAATAAACTAGATTGTGTGGTTTCTTGAGCAAAAACAAAATGTCTGAAGAATTACCCTAGATTTTGCCACAAGTACCCTGTTGTGATATTAATCTAGATTTCAGTATCAAATGTATATTATCTTTCATATTGAATTCTAAGCTACTTTTTTTTTTTTTTTTTTGAGTTGGAGTCTCACTCTGTCACCCAGGCTGGAGTGCAGTGGCATGCTCCCGGCCACCGCAGCCTCGACCTGCTGGGCTCCGGTGATCCTTCCATCTCAGCCTTCCAAGTAGCTGGAACTATAGGCTTGTGCTACCACACCTGGCTAATTTTTTGTTTATTGTAGAGATGAGGTCTTGCTAAGTTGCCCAGGTGGGTCTCGAACCTGTGGGCTCAGGCAGTCCACTCGCCTTGGCCTCCCAAAGTGCTGGGATTACAGGCTGAGCCACTGAGTCCAGCCTCTAAGCTACTTTTATGTGAATAGCATTCAGGCTTTCAAAAAGTATCAAAGAATATGACTTTTTAAGCTAATTGTTTAAAAAATAGATTTTATTAGATTTTTTTCTGATTGGAAAAAAACCATAAAAATGTAAATTTGTTGTTTTCATTCTTAACTCATAAGTGTGTGTGTGTGTGTGTGTGTGTGCGTGTATGTGTTTACATATAGGCTTTGTACAGTGCAGAAATCATAGTGTATTACAGCCTGAATCTATCTAGAGCATTTTATATTACTAGTTCCATGATATCGAATAGTTGCATAATCTGGATATAAAATAACGTATGTAGTATATTAAATCTTTCTTTGATATTTTGTTTTCCTACTTTTTTTCATATTCCGTATAATACTACATTATATATGTCTTTGAGTACATCTATGATTATTTCATCCGTTTTAATTCCTAGACGGGGAATAATTAAGTCAAAGGAAATGAATATTTTTAAGTCAGCTGACTTTTTAACTACTAGTATGTAGCTAAATCGGATGGGTATGGGTAAGATGTATAATGAAAACATCTAAGAAATAAAGATGAAAGCACTTTCGCTAAGTAGGTATTTAGGTGTCTGCTAAGAATACATCATAGTATTAAATATGTGGACATTCAAAACAAGAAAAAAGATTGATAGAAACAATCCCTGCACTCAAGGAGTTTTTGTAGGGCATAAGATATGCACATTATTGGTGAGATTAATGCAAGACAAAGGGTAGTAAGTGTTGGAACAGGAATGTGTGTATAGGTTATAGGAAACTGAGGGGGTGGGATAATAGCTATAACATTCATGGTTTTATGAACATATCACTGAAACATTTCATAGAGATTCAGTCAGTAATAATTTACAATTTGTGATTATAACAGCAAACACAAAGATGCAATAGTTTTTTTCTTCTTAATTCAGGAGAGATCAGTGATAGTTGTCCAGTTTATCCAGCCATCACTGCTACATTGTCCTTACCAGAGCTAACAGGAAGTTTCCATGAGCCTAGCCAAGAACTGAAGTTTTCTGTGGAGCAAGGAAATACCAGAAACAGAGAAAATTCTCCCTCTTCCCAAACAACTGGCCTTCCTAGCATAAGTAAAGAAGGTGAAGAGCCAACCAAAGGCAACAGTGGGTCTGAAGCCTGCACCAGTTCTTTTCTAAGATTGTCTTTTGCTTCAGAAACCCCCTTGGAGAAGGAACCCCACTCTCCAGCTGACCAGCCTGAGCAACAGGCAGAATCCACTCTGACATCAGCTGAAACTAGGGGAAACAAGAAAAAGAAGAAACTTCGGAAGAAAAAAACTCTTCGGGCTGCCCATGTCCCTGAGAATAGTGACACTGAACAGGATATATTTACTGCTAAACCTGTAAGGAAAGTAAAAACTGGAAAGTTAATTAAAGGGGGGAAAGTAACAACCTCTACTTGGGAAGATAGCAGAATTGGTCGGGAGCAGGAGTGTGTCAGAGATGAGCCAGAAAGTGACTCGTCTCTGGAAGTCCTAGAACTTCCTAATCCTCAGTTAGAAGTAGTAGCCATTGAGTCTTCAGAATCTGGAGAAGAGAAACCAGACAGTCCATCTAAAAAAGATATTTGGAACTGTACAGCACAAAGCCCATTAGAAACTTCTCGTTCTGGTTGTGATGAAGTTAGCTCTACCAGTGAGATTGGTACTCGCTATAAAGATGGCATCCCTGTAAGGTAAGGATATTGTATTGGCCCAGTCCAAATCACTTCCATCAACCTTTTTTTTTCCTGAGTTGAAGTCTCACTCTGTTGCCCAGGCTAGAGTGCAGTGGCACACTCACGGCCACCCCAGCATCAACCTGCTGGACTCTGGCAATCCTTCCACCTCAGCCTTCCAAGTAGCCAGAACTACAGGCATGCGCTACCACGCCCAGGTAATTTTTTTAGTTTTAATTGTTGAGACGTGGTCTTGCCAAGTTGCCTGAGCTGGCCTCGAATCCATGGGCTTAGGCAATCCTCTTGCCTTGGCCTCCCAAAGTGCTGGGATTACAGGCTGAGTCACTAAGCCCAGTCCTTTTTTTTTTTGAGTTGGAGTCTCACTCTGTTTCCCAGGCTGAAGTGCAGTGGCATGCCTAAGGCCACCACAGCCTCGACCTGCTGGGCTCCGGCAACCCTTTCACCTCAGTCTTCCAAGTAGCCAGAACTATAGGCATGTGCTACCATGCCTGGTTAATTGTTGTAGATGAGTCTTGCCAAGTTGCCCCAGTGGGTCTTGAACCTGCAGGCTCAGGCAGTCCACTCGCCTTCGCCTCCCAAAGTGCTGGGATTACAGACTGAGCCACCAAGCCTGGCTTTTTTTTTTTTTTGAGTGAAGCCTCACTCGGTTGCCCAGACTGGAGTGCAGTGGCTGTTCCCGGCCACCTCAGCCTTGCCTGCTGGGCTCCAGTGATCTTTCCGCCTCAGCCTTCCGAGTAGCCTACAGGCATGTGCTACCACATCCGGCTGATTTTTTGATTTATTGTAGAGATGAGGTCTCGCTGCCCAGGCGGGTCTCGAACCCATGGGCTCAGGCAATCCACTCACCTCAGCCTCCCAAAGGCGTGGGATTACAGGCTGAGCCACCGAGCCTGGCTCTTTTTTTTTAAATAGAACTTTTAGTTATGAATCAGAATTTATTTAAAAGTCAAAATTTATGTGAAAGCAGTAGGCATTAGGGATATGAAAGAATCAAACTTTGACAGTGGAGATTTTCTCCTTTCACTTCTGACTGTGTTGTAATTACTCTGCTTTTATTTCCCTTAATATAGAAATTTCAGGTGTAAAAACTAATCTCTTATATCATTGCTACTTTGCCCTTTGTTTAGAAAAATCCTTTGAGTCAGGAAACTTAGTTTTGCTGCCTGCCGTATTCACACGCTTTTGCTTTTATTTTGCAGTGTAGCAGAAACTCAGACTGTGATCTCTTCCATAAAAGGGTCAAAGATCTCTTCAGGTATTTGTTGTTCCATTTTATTTAAATTAACCACAGAAAAAGAGCCTTACAAATATTAGAGCCAGGGTTTAAATCTATTAAAATATGTTTATAGAATAGGAGGGGGGCAGTTTATCACCAAGAGGATTGCCTTGGGTTGTGATATTCCTAAAACCTCAAATCCAGATCTTTCAGTTTTTTACTCTCATCTCTCTTATTTGGCTCCCTTATCTGTTTAACTAATAGTATTAAGATTTCATTGGCTTCAATAATTGTTGCCTTGAGAAGGAACTGCTTAAATAATAATACCTTACTCAAAGAAGTAACTGTTTAGGAGCAGGGGAAAGGGTGTAGGAGAGATACCTGGGTACCTTCCAAGTATCACTATGTAAGTATCTGTCTTTTGCTTTTTTGTTGTTCTTATTTGTGTTTGTTTTTGTTTTTCGTTGGGGTTTCACTCTGTTGCCTAGGCTAGAGTGCAACGGCATGCTCACAGCCACTGCAGTCTTAACCTGCTGGGCTCAGGTGATCCTCCACCTCAGCCTTCCAAGTAGCTGGAACTACAGGCGCGTGCCACCACACCTGGCTAATTTTTTTATTTATTGTAGAGATGAGATCTCGCCAAGTTGCCCAAGTTGGTTTTGAACCCCTGGGCTCAGGCAATCCTCTCGCCTTGGCCTCCCAAAGTGCTGGGATTATAGGCATGAGCCACCACACCCGGCTAATATCTGTCTTTCTTAAGTGAAAGGTCTTCCCTGGCATCTCTTATTATGGAATCTTCATAGTGAAGATGTCTAATGAAACTTGTAGTATTCTAGGGGAACTAGGCTTTAAGGAGATCTTCTTTTGGATTAATTTAGGGATCACTGTATTTTGTAATGGTTTTGATTTTTGAGTAGCTTTTCAGACTCTAGCAGCCATGTCTCTGAAACTAATTCTTGTTTTCTAGAAATCTCTTCAGAGCCAGGGGATGATGATGAGCCCACAGAAGGAAGCTTTGAGGGGCACCAAGCTGCAGTGAATGCAATTCAAATATTTGGGAACTTACTGTATACTTGTTCAGCAGATAAAACTGTCCGAGTTTATAATCTGGTGGTAAGTAAATTGATGTAATATTTTGAATGTTTTTGGTTGCAAATTTTAGAAAATCCAGCTCATACCCTCTTAAAAAATGAAGGGAATTCATTGGCTCTCCCAAATTAGGGGGTAGTCTTTATTTTATTTTATTTTATTTTAAAGATGTAGGGTACAATTCAGGGTTAGGTATACAAATGTTCATTATGCAGGTACCCTTGTTGATGAGGTATGCC